GTAGAGCTGACAAGTGTGCCCTAACCTAGTCCTCATCTTCAGGCAGTAATTTGGGGGCTATTTCTGACAGCAACCCGTGTATGGCCAGATTAAGCATCTGTAAAACTCTCTTCATATTAATGTTGTCAAACTTTGACAAGCCATCAATAACTGATGCAGAAAAGCTTATTCATGCTTTCATGACCTCTGTTAGACTGCTGTAATGAGTTACTAGGCGGATGCCCTGCTGGCCTCACTAACAAACTGCAGCTGGTTCAAAATGCAGCTGCTAGAGTGCTTTCTACAACCAAGAAATCACAGTACTCCAGTTCTTTCATCAGTGCATTGACTCCCTATTAAATATTTAATTTACATTGTTATTGTTTAACTACAAAGCCCTCAATGCCTTAGCTGCCCAGTATTTGAGGGAGCTCCTGGTGTATTATAGAGCATGAGATTGATTCCTTTAAGACCCTATAGTGACCCACGAGTCTATGTATTGATCCTGAAGGGTCAGTCTGTACACCAGCCAGTGACCTCTCCCTTCTGCAGCTTCTCCACAATGGATGTCCACCATTCTCCAGCCTCCGGTGCCTAGACTGCAGCTCTGTACAGGAAGTTTGGCCAGAGGAGAAATGGTCATGCCCAACTGAGCCTGGTTTGAGGTTATTCTTCACCTTTACTTTGGTCGGTTGGTAAACTGGCTTGCTTGGTTTGGGGCTTGTGTAGTTGAGCATGGATGGATTTTTTCTTCATTGTTTGGACTCAGCAGTGAAAATTAAACAACGAAATTAATCTCTGAAAACAGACCTGATTTAAACCTCTCATGTGAAAATGAAGCATGCACATCCGCAAAGATCCTTAGGCTGTACAGTTATAGTAGATAGAAGTTTGTATGAATGTTCAAGAAACTGAAGCAGATAAGGGAGATTCCACAGAAGGAAGAATTAATTTATGAAATGAGTGAACAAGTCGTTGAGAGATTTCCAAGGTAAGCCATATGCCCGGAGCACTGAGCTGCCCTAAGAGCTGATTTAATGTGAATAAACCTCAAAGCAGCTGCCTCAAACTATATTGAGTTTTAAGGTTCTGGACACATTTTTAACCAGTCATCAGATATCTCCCAAAGGGTTAACTTTATGAGACACTGCAAATGACATCAAGTACTGTCTGACAAATACATTTAGGAAATAGGTGTACTGTCTCTGCCATTGTGTAGTTGTTAATGTCTACAATCGCGCTATGTGGAGAGAAAAAAAAAAAAAATTCACAATAGAACCAAACTGATTTATTGCTTAAGTGAGAGCCTTAAAGTGAGCACTTTTGTTTGTGAAAGGATTCTCACTACCAAAAGGAATTCTTGATACGAGATGTTTATTTAAATTTGAGATTTTTGAAGAGGAAACTGGAACCAGTAAAGTTGAAATATTTATAGGTGAAGAGGTTCCAATATTCCCATGAAATTGAGATTGTAAAAGAGAAGTGTGGTTACTTTCACTGAGAGGTTCTGGAGTTAGATGTTCTAGGAGTTAGGGAAGATCTTTTAAACCAGCCATGTACACTACAGATGTTCTGGAGAAGGCATGTAGGGTTTTTCTGAAAAGTTCTGGGTTACAAGTTATAGAAGAATAAATATTTTAAATCTTTCCATGGAAAAGAAAGGGAAAATCTGGTCATTCTGAAAAGTTGTAGGGTTATAATTTGAGATTTGGTGTTTTAAAGTGTCCCTATGGAAGTACTAATCTTACTCCTTAACCTTAATCCTAGTAAATTCTGAGGTTACAAGTCTTCAGTAGATCTCATGTTTGAATTGATGATTTTTTGAAAAGTTCTTGAATGACTGGTGTAGGTGGTGTTGATGCACAATGTACTGTTGCGTGGAGGTGCTAATCACCAGTAGAAGACTGGGCTTCATTTAAGGCCATTCACCCAAGGCCACCGTCCCTGCGTGCTGTCCAAGTGGACCCAGGGGGGCTGAATACTTACCACTCCCCCAAGTGACCTTTTGTTAACACCGCAAGGTTGCCCAGGTCACCCGAGAAGAGTCTGAAGATGTTTCTCTATGAGGCCTACTCTGGCTAATCCAGAGACCAGGCTCCCCAGGACCCCAGATATCTCCAGGGAACAGAAGAGCCCTTGCCCAAATCAGCTGAATCTAACAGGTAGATTCAGGAGTAAAAATTGGCCATGAACTGGTCATTGCCTTCTCCTCACTCCCTACTGATTTGCTCCAGAATACTTAGTCAACATCCAAGGAGGTCCTTAAATCCAATTTGACCAAAATAAAATTCGCCAGAATGTGACTAGAAGCATTCAGAGAGATACTCCTGACCTCTCACTAATTACGAGAAATTATAAAATTTAAGAGGTCAGGTCGAGGTTCAGTCTGGCGGATATATCTCTGTAGATATATCATGCTTCTACCAAACGTCTCCCCTAAGGCAATGCAAGAACCAAGCAGACATTATCCTTATCAGGGATAACCGTTGGGAGCATTACCCTGAAGATCAACCAACCCTGGTCCATTGACTAGGTGTTGAGACACAGCATTTCGGCAATGGTGATGACCATTTGTTTGTTTGTGTTTTTCTTTCTTCTTGTTTGTATATTTTTATTCAGAATTTGATTATCTGATGTCTAGGTTGTTTTTCCATACTTTGATTATCATATTTAAGCTTATGAAGCCCTTTAAAATCGTGTTTTATTAGAGAATAGACCATATGCAAATGACTCATTAGTATTCGTGTTTTTTGACCAATCCTGTGTGTCCTCAGCTGAGTGTGCTTTCGGTCAGGTTTAATCCTTTATATCTCGGCCGTTTTTTAATGTTTTGGTTTAATTTTTTCTGCATTTTAGTCAGTTTGTTGTGTAGAATAAGTGTTGAGCAAATAAACTGGCATTACTGATCAAAAATATTTTTGTGAGGTTACCGTTTATGAGGAGTACAGCTGATTTAGTGTGGTAATTCACAATCTGTTTTTACAGGCTAATGTCTCCATTCAGGCAAACTGATTTATGCAGTTTATTGGAGATGATAGAGTTGATATGATCATGTCAATGATATTAATAACACACACATCTCAGTTGTGTGTTTTGATTAGCATGATTCAACAGTGTACAAACAATGTACATAATAAAACAGAAAACCAGAAAATACAGAAATAGTCTAAAAGCATAAACTTAAGATCAGCCTGGCAAGTTGTGAACACAATGGCTGGGAGTAAAGAAGATAGAGGAGGCAATGAAACCAATTAAAATGGTTTTAATTATGTGAGAGAGTTTGCTGAGGAATTAAATACATTTTACTTAAGATTTGATGAGGGTGATTTTAAGTCAGAAAATGACATTTTAAAACAACACCTGTCATGAAGTAAATCCGTAAACATTTGTAGGACTAGGGTCGAAGAACTCTTTCAGAGAATTAATACTAAAAAAAGCCCGGGCCCAGATAATATTGGTGGTAGGGTGCTACATACATGTGCTGAACAACTTTCTGAAATATTTCATTGCATTTCTTCAGTCTCTTACGTTGCAAAGAGTTCCTGAAATCTGGAAGAAATCTGTTCCAATAGCCAAAACTAAGTTTCTGCGGGAGTTACATGATTTTAGACCTGTTGCCCTTACTTCATTAGTTATGAAGTTTTTTGAGAGTATTAAAGGTGAGATTTTAATGTATTCAAAGGATAAATTTGATCCTTTGCTGTTTGCATTTAGACAGAGCAGGGGAGTTAAAGATGCTAATCTTACACTGTTAAATTACCTGTTTAATCACCTGGAAAAGCCCGAGACCCATGCCAGATTGTTGTTTCCCTAAACGGGAAAATAAAGTTGAGTCTGAGTCATCTTATCGACATTCTGACCACTGCACATACACACACACACACACACACACACACACACACACACACACACACACACACAGCAGATCATCAGCTCTACATTCATTATATCTGGAGTGATTTTTACTCCTGCCAGTCATTGTGCTTGAACATGCTGAGTCGCTGTACACAAGGCTACATTAATCATAAATAATCATAAATAAATGAACTACATTCAATATAACACTGACATCATATAGAGAAGATCAGCAGCTCCTCGTGAACATCAGCAGAGTCAGAACACAGAATACAGCATGTCGTGAAGAACAGAAGAACACTAAGAGCACATGAGGAGCGACTGGGCCATCCTGCTGCTGCTGCGTGTGTGTTTGCATGTCTTTGTGTCTGTGCGTGTCGTGCCTGCACACGTGTCTGTGTGCATGCATGTGTGTGTTACAGACACAGACAGAGAGTAAAGCAGAACATCAGAGGCAGAACAGAGCTCTGGGCTCCTCCAGCTGTGCTTGTGTCGGCCCGTCTCCACACTCAGACTGTGTCCACTCAGACCGTACCGGCTCAGCAGCTTTCTCTGACTGGGGCTCTTAATGTTGGTCAGATACGGGGCCAGTTCATAACCAGGTTTAATCTTGTTGAAGCACACTAATTTTTTTATTTGATGAATTTTATTTTGCCAATTATAATCCTCCTGGGTAATCTTTTCTATTTCTTTAGTCTTTATATGTTGGGACAGGGTTTGTGAGTTTAGTTGGTGTTTTCCCACCAGATAGTGCAAGGGGTCGCTGGCCGGATGTGCATTTCTATATATGAGGGCTTGCTGATGGTAGCTCTCTGGGCTGGAGTCTGACAGATGGAGCCAGAACTTCCCTGCTCTCTTCTGGATGTCTGAGAGCAGAGGGAACCGCCTAGTTCTGCTCTGCAACCAAGGCTAGGTGTGCTTCTGTGAACTCCGAGGATGTTTTTGCAAAACTCCAGATGAAAGATTTCAACTGGAGTTTTTTCCCAAGATTCATAGTTTAATTTAAATGTGGGTCCCCAGAGTTCACAGCCATACAGCAGGACTGGCTTTACAATGGAGTCAAATATTTTCAGCCACAGTTTAATGGGTGGGTTAAACTTAAGAAGGTTTTTTTTTTTAATACAATAAAAAGCCCTGCGTGCCTTAGCGGTTAAGTCTTTTAGAGCTTGACTGAAGTGTCCAGAAGCTGTGATTGTCAGACCCAAATAACTATAAGAGGTGACGTGGTCAAGTATTGTTCCTCTGATTTTAAAAGTGTGTCTTTTTTATCAGCTAGACAAGGTTTTTTACAGAAGATCATGATCTTGGACTTCTGCATGTAAATGGGCAATGCCCAGTCTGTGCTGAACTCCTCCAAGATGGAGAGACTGTGGTGAAGACCCTCTAATACAGTTTACATAAAAAGTAACATACATATATATAATAAAAAAACAGTACACAAAGTAAATAGTAGTAGTAAAAAAGAGGTGATATTTTATATATAATGATTAAATAAAATATCAACAATACATCATATTATTTAATATATCACATTAATATTCAATATATTATATTATTATTCAACATTAATTATTCATACAAATCAATACAAAAACAGATCAGAATAAACAGTAATAAAAACAATAATAATCAGTATATCTACAATGATTCTCTCTCTCCTCAATATTTACAGTAAAAAAGTTCACACATCTCTTGTGAAAGGTTGGCCAAAACTACACAAAATTAGTTTACATAAATCCCTAAGAGTTTCATATTACTACTAAAGTGATATAGATGGCCGGATCAGTTCACTCCTCTGAATTCTCATATATTCTTCATCAAAGCTGCCGTCTTCATCAGAGTAAGTCTTATTCTTCCCGGCTGGCCAGAATCATCTGAAGCTACAAATCCTCAAAAAACACTCAAGAAACCTGACGCAGGCCGTCCTGTTCTCCCTGGACCAGCAGAGAGCGCGTGTGCACCACCACTGCCATCCAGAGCGGTTCCCCTGTGCTGCTGATGCACAGATGATCATCCCCAATACACATTACATAAACTCAGGATTACATCTGTTTTACACTTGAGCTGACAGCTGTACATCACTTTAAACCTTAAACCCAGACGCTCTCAGCTATGAGTATTTGCTGAGTTTGAGTGTCTGTGTGGGTCACTGAGAGACACAGAGAGAGTGCGTTAAACAAGTTTGCTTTTTTATTGAGGCTATGCATGAGAGAAGTTGTGTTGTACAGATCTTCACACACTGCTGTTCTGTCGAGCCAGAACGTAATCTCCTCGTTTCTCATTCTTTCGACACAGCTGACAGGAGAAAACAGCGAGCACCAGCAGAAAACAGCAGGAGATGACGGCGGCCACCGACCACCAGGACCCGGAGTCTGCAGACAGACGAAGAACACTGAAAACACACGTCTAAACACACACGGTATGACTGAACAATACACTCAGGACATGGCTCCTCTCACTTCTCTAATAGAGTAGGTGTTAAAGGTGTGCTTCGTCCAGATGTGCAGCTCATGTTGTTCTGACAGCAGCATTAATGAAGCTGATTTTCCCGGGAGCGTATTAACAGTGAACACGGCTTTACAACCTCAAACTCCTACTGGACGTCACTCACAGACACAGCTAACCCTTACAGCGACTTCATCAGAAAATCATCAGAAAAGGTCAGGACACCTAACCCAATCCATTTCAGCACATCAGGACAGTGGTTAACATTGTCGCCACCAGCAAGAAGGTCTCTGGTTCGAGTTAGAGGTGGAGTTTGCATGTTCTCCCTGTGTTGGCGTGGGTTTCCTCCGGGTTCTCCGGGTTCCTCCACAGTCCAAACACATGCGCTATAGGGGAACTGATCAACTACACTGGCCGTAGTGTATGAGTGTGTGTGTGTGTGTGTGTGTGTGAGAGATTGTGTGTGTATGGGCGCTCCCCAGTACAGGGTTGCAGCTGGAAAGGCATCCACTGTGTGAAACATATGCTGGAATAGTTGGCGGTTCATTCCGCTGTTGCGACCATTGAAATATAGACTAAGCTGAAGAAGAATGAACGATTGAGTGAGGAAAGAACAGCATGATGCGGGGAGCTCCTCTTCTGCTGGAGTTTATTATTAAAGACTGAATGTCCATTAGACTGCAGTGGCTTTAGCAGTGGTGCAGACCTCACAGTCAGAACGGCTTCTCAACTCTTCATGTTCAGGTATTATTTTGACTTTTGTAAGACTAACGCTAAGAGTAAGTGTGAACACTTGAAGTCAAGTTTCTTTATAAACTAATTTGGAGAGGGGAGTGTGTTTATGATCGAGTATGGCGGGTCCCACATTAGCTATCACATGATACATAAAATAGCAGGATCTCCTTTCCTTTTTCATCTTGAAGATTCCCCCATCCACCCCGACTCCTTCCCTTCTTTCCTAGCACAGCACAGGGGAGTTTCTCCAGACCGAGAGCGTAGACTCGCCTGACTCCTGATGAAACATGGCTCTCTCCCAGAACAGCATGCCAACACACATACACTATCAGTCATGAGCAAAGTGTGATCTCTTAAATAATCTTTGAAAAGAGGGCTGAGCATCATCATCATCATCATCATCATCATCATCATCATCATCATCATCAGTGGCAGCTGGAGCTTTCATTTTCACTGGATTCTAAATGGCTGTCCAAGTTTTATCTTAATGCATGCGCACGCACGCACGCACGCACGCACACACACACACACCTGTCAGTCTGATGTAGGTCAGCACCTCCAGCTTCTGCTCCTGGTTTCTCCATCTGCAGCTCAGCTCTGTGCCGTGGTCTTCCTCATGGAGGATGGAGATCAGCAGCTGCACCTCCACAGTGAGGTCTGTGATTCTGAAAACACACACACACACACACTGATTATAACCTGTTCCACACACCGCTCAGCTCCTGCTCTCCTCTACTGAAGTCTGAAATGAAGATGAATGCGGCCCACAGCACAGTGTGTTCAGAGAAATAGGCCTAAAGTCCTCATTTGTCTACTCTTTTGGATAAGTGTGTATCCGTGTCCTGAAACACACATGTGGAGCAAAACACCATACAGCTACAGTGTGAGGTCATGTCCTCTTGCCAGTGCAGACTGTGTTTTCTTAGATTAAATGGCATTTCTATAATGTTTGGAGATCCTCTGCCGGCATTCATCACAGTGCTTTGAGCTCATTCGGTCAGTACAGTGGGGTCTCGGCAGGCGTTCAGATGGAGCAGAGTTTCTGTACAGGACTTTACTGTGAGCTACGCCTCTGTGTAAGGGATGCTGCACATGAAATAACACATTTAATAACATTCTTTTACTCCAAACTCTGTTCATAAGCTCAGTGGAGTGTCTGAAATAAGCCTTCAGTGAGACGACTCTGTTGATCTGTTATTGACGCTGAATCAGTGAACGCAGCTAAATCCTCTCTTTATAAAGCCGCACTGTGGGGATCTCCTGTGTTCTTCTTCAAGGCTCTTCAGAACTGTGCTTCTCCGAGCAAAGCTGTGATTGTCATGAAAATCTGCTCGATCACATGTGAGATGTCAGCTTCATTAATTTCCCAGACCTAATAAGACTCTTGCTGACAGCTAGAAAACGGTTTTCAGACTGACTAAAAACATGCTGAAATGAAGAGTTAGGGGTAAAATGCATTACACTGCCTCCTCAGCTCTTACCCCACTCCTGACTAAAGTTCTCAGAGCATCTGTGTAGGTGCAGTAATGTCACCTGTTCTGCGACTGCAGCGCTCGTCCGGCCAGGTGAGAGTGTTCAGGTGTGTTTCCGTTGATCAGCCAGGTCAGCTCTGCAGATGAGGGATTTACAGCCGACACTACACACTGGAGCAGCAGCTGCGAGCCTGAAACAGCACAGCACAGACTCTAAACCACACAACAAAAGCTCACCGCTGTCCACATGATTGTCCACTTCCACATCACGGACTGACTGTAGAGATGAGGCAGTGCGGGAAGCTGTTTACGGAGCGCTCTGCTGGGTTTTACGGGATTGATTTCTACAGAGGCCACCCGTACTGTACACCAACAATCAACACAGGCAGACATATGAACATACCATGTGTATGACACGAGTTTAAATCTAGTCCTAGCCAATGAAATTACTCTTGGCATCACGTTCATGTGTAACTTCAGCACTGTCTGGACACTGTAAGCTCAATCAAGGCCCGCATACAAACAAGAAAACCTTTTAAACACTTTATATAAAGCGTTTTAACTCTCCAGTATTGTGGCGTACACTGACAGTATGTGGCGTACACTGACAGTATGTGGCGTACACTGACAGTATGTGGCGTACACTGACAGTATGTGGCGTACACTGACAGTATGTGGCGTACACTGACAGTATGTGGCGTACACTGACAGTATGTGGCGTACACTGACAGTATGTGGCGTACACTGACAGTATGTGGCGTACAATGACAGTATGTGGCGTACACTGACAGTATGTGGCGTACAATGACAGTATGTGGCGTACACTGACAGTATGTGGCGTACACTGACAGTATGTGGCGTACACTGACAGTATGTGGCGTACACTGACAGTATGTGGCGTACACTGACAGTATGTGGCGTACACTGTACTTAATATAACACTGAGTCTAGCAGCCTGTTGCGTTTACAGTTTAGACATATTATTTTT